TAATTTTCTCCTGTGTCGCCGATGACACTATTCGATAGATGCAATCTTCATATACGTTTGTATATTTTAGGTTTGTTTCATGTTTCATTCGTTTGACGCTTGTCATATCATTCGGTCTCACCTTTCTCTCACAAATCATTCGAGCGTCAACATCATTATTATCTTCATTATTGATTGCATAGAAAAAAAATAGAGAAGAGTAGCAAAAAAAAAAAAGAAAGGAAGAGTGATTGGTTCATGGTAACCAATCATTGTTGAAACCGAAAATATTTTTTTTGTCTAATCAATTCTTTTTATCAACCAATTAAATATTATTTGAATTTTTTTACTGTTATAAAACAATTTGAGTTTCCAACTTAAGAATCAGTAAAATAATAATAAATACTATTTGTTGAAATTATAGATGGGATCAAGAAATCTTTTGCAATAATTTAAAGAATATCAATAATAATATATGAGATGCAGTTGTAGTTTTTTAACCTTGAACAAAACAGAAAGTCATATCAATTCGAAGTCTGAAGATGAAAATAGTTTATTTGTTGAATTGATTCATATTATGTTTTCAATGAACTTAAAAGAAACTTTTTCGTAGATATGTATTTCAGAAGAATTTTTCAGCACAGCTTGGTATTCAAATTTTATGTTGAAAAAAAAAATGACTACAAATGTTTTGCGCATGTGAAATATTATTCTTTCATGTGAAAAATTCAATTTAATTATCTTTTATTGAAAATTTAATTAGAAAACTTGAGAAATACCTTTGTATCTCATATTATTTGACATCTTGAGAAAACGTCGTTTAGATTTAAAACCAATTGAGCTTGTTTTTTGTTTATATTAAAAGTAAGATGGATAAGAAAATTGTTATTCATGATACAATATTGAAATGATATATCAAATATTCTGTTTTTCTATGAAACCTTGAATAAATTTTTGAATCAATATCTAAAACTTTTTGATAATTATCATTTATTCATATGCGTAGATAGTATACTTCATTTAATTGGTTATGTCAGAGAGTAGAGATTTTCCCATAATGAATGATCTATTTCATAGCTTATTAAGATAATCGTATGAACAGAAGATATTAATGTTGAATTTGACAACATAGTTAGTAATTGAACAATATCAGTTACAAAATGATTAGATTTCTGAACTTTGAACAATCTTTATAATCAATCTATGAAAGTTTGATTTCATCTATCATTTTCTTTTTCTATTTTTTTTTTGCTTCAAATGTATATAAAAGATTGTTATCTGATTTCGTTTTTTGAAGATTATCAATAGATATCTGCTGCTCTTTTGATTTAATCAAAATAAGAAAAGCTATTAAATTTTATATTTAGCTTTACTTTACAAAAGAAAAATAAAACTAAAAATTTATTCTTTTTAATTTTAATAATTTTGACGTAACTATTTTTCCAACAAAGATTTATCCTGTAATTCTCGACAGTATCGGTTTTAATGGGTATCATTAGTACAAAAAACAAAAACTATGGAAAAACATTCTGCAAAAAATTCAACATCGATAACTTTCATAACACAAAATATAAATTTCTTGCATCTATATGTCGTTTTGCCACGCTGTGTTGACCGATCAAAAGATCCATTTTTTTTTTGTAAAATTTTTGAAGTTCTATCGTTTTAGAATGTTTAACAATTTTTAAAAGAAAATTCTGTAGCATCAAAAATAAATATTACGCTTTTTTTTCAAATTTCAACAAACATATTCTGCGAACATGATTTTTCATGTTTTTGAGAAGTTCATGTAACGCAGCTAAACTTCGTTCAAATATGAGAGAATACTTTTTACCATTTTGACTGGACAAAATAATAATCAACTATGGACTGTGATTATCGTATTCATTATTCATTCATTTATTTATTTTATTTTTTTGTTTCACTAAGTTATTGTTCACATTTTCTAATCGATTATTATTAATATCTTACATAATTTATTGAGTAATAGCTATTGTTTCTTAATTCAAATTTATTTTGACATTATATGACAAGACTTCATATGTTCTCTTCAACTAGCTCATCAAATTTATTCATAGCATTTTTACTCAAAAAAACAGACATTTTGCTAAATATTAATGTTTTTATATTTGTCTATGTTCGACAAACAAATACTATGTTCAATCAATAAATGTTGGACAGAATTACATCATTTCGGTATACATGATTAGCTTATCTTTTGACAGAAACAGTCTTCTAGTTTCACTCAATTATTATCATAATATTTATATGTACAAAAAAAATAGACAGTTAGACGAGGCCAGATTTACTTGTTATAAACTCATGTAAATCTCTGCCATGAAGGTTTAGCTTAATTTAGATCGATTTAATACAATTTTTTATCACGTAGATACAAGTAAGAAGTCGAAGTATGTCAGATTCGAACATGTTGTCGGAGAACGTGTTCATCTAGAAATATTTTCGATTTAAATATTTTTTTCTTCTGTTGCATCAGATGGAATCTAGATGAGTGAATCTTATTTGGTACTTTGAAATTATTCTAGTATATTTTAAACGTTGGTTATATTGCATAGTCGAAAATATTATTTGACTAATTTTATTTGCTTTTATTTCTATGACTTTGATTTGTATATAATTTTACAGAGAATTGCAAGCGGTATTACAATTGACATGAGAATTCAGTTAAATTTGAAATACACGAATTCATTGTAAAAAAGTTCTTTTAAAAAAAAAATTTATAGTAGGAATAATGTTGTATGCAAAAGGTGAACTAATTGATTTAGACAAGAATTCACAAAATATCAAGTCACATTAAACACCATAAGTAAAAGCTTGTAATCCTTGAGTTTTTTTCTGTCAGTGTATTATCAAAAAAAACCCGACTCAAAATATTCTAAAAAGGATTATGCACTATATACCATCGATTATAGTATTTAAATAATAGATTTAACTTTCAATTTCATTAATGTTTACAGCCATTCATTCTGCTCTAATATCAAAATTATAAGACATACATGTAGTGTGATGAATCTTTGTTTTTGATAACCGCTCACATCAATCCCCTTGCTCGCATAAATAAATACTTTAAAAAAGAACAACAAGTTTTCAAAAACATTCATCATTCATGCAATGTCTCTATGTCTCTCTAGATGAAAAAAATACATCGAAAATATTTAACCAATACAAAAAATAGCAATGCATTCACTAAATTATCAATTTTCGCCAATCATTCAATGTCTCTAGGACTCAGATATAAAAAAATACTTTCGAAATATATATTCTATGGAACATAATACGTCTAGTCAAATTATTATTGTTTATATATAGCATAACAACGTAAACAATATCTGTCATCAAGTAACTTTCAAAATACAATTAAATTATATTAACAATAAACAAGGAATTTGTTTTTGTACACTTGCCATATCTTTGATTTCTAAATGCTATCACAATCTCAACAGAACTTTATCCTGACCTGCCATAGAGATGTCAACTCTATGCTATTCTTTATGCAAATCTCTATAGGTTACTTCTACTCATGTTGCTAGAGTACCAATCATAAATTTCTTTTTGATGCAAGACACATTGTGAGTCAGTCTATGGTTATTCAATTTCGTTTAATGCATTTATTGCACGACAATATCTTTGTTAATCTCCATACTTCATAAACATGTAATTTTTCTATTTTGAATAATTTTATGTTAGATAGCATGAACAAAAGATTTGTATCATGTAGACGATTTTCATCAAGTTATAATAATTCTCATTTCAGTAATGTAATAGTACTCATCGATTGATGAACGAATTTCATGAAAATGCAAAGACATAGTATCCCCAATCGACGAATACAGTTGTTCTCCAATGCATTCAAAGTGGCTTAAATTAATCAAATGATAATATCCTTAGTCGATTCATTCTATGTATGATTTCTTTCAGTCCATAATCTAGAAAGTTAATCAATAAGTATATTGGTTGATTATCTTCTTAAGTGTATCTAATCTTTCAAAAGTTTAATAAAATAAATTTTTTAGTATCTTTTCTTGATTTTGTTTTGGCAGCTCTTCTTGTTTTGTTATTTATTGACGATGAGTGATTCTGTATTTTAGTATCACGTTTATACTTTCATTATATTCGTTTTTCTTAGGATAAATGTTTTATGTTTCTTTTTTTTTGTTTTTTAGTAATAATAAACAAAAAAATCGGATGAATATTGGTGCTTTCCAATATAAATTTGTTATCTATTGGTGTTAGTAAATATGGCATCTGTTCTCTTGTTATTATAATTTATTCCTTATATTGAAGAACAAAAATTACACCTTACTGACTTTTGAAGTAGACGTTCGATACTGTTGGTCTTCTTTAAACGCAGCTCTTTTAGTAATTGCTTTCATTAACATGTCCAAAGAATGACTAGGTCAAGATGAAAGCTGCATTTAATGTGAGCAGATTTTCTTCCAAATAGTGTTTCGCTTGTTTATCATCTTCGATAGTGACCACACCCACGATATAAAAGGTTTCTAATCGTTATTCTGTTGATTACGCAGTGTCCTACTTTCTAGAGTTGCTGTAAGTCTACAATGAAAGTCAATATGATGCAATAGATTTTATTTACCGTTTCATTATTTTTTTTACAAATAAAAAAAAATAAACACAAAAACTTCTTTAAATTCTTTTTTTTTTTCATTTATTCTTCTTCTTGTGTTGCCAAACAATCTAAACAGTACGCAGCGTTTTTTATTTGGGATTTTGTTTTCTATGTAACGCTGTTATTTGTGTATGCTTACATATATTTCATGGATGAATAATATCTATGCATAAATCACGATTAAAGCATTTTTTTTACGTGTAATAGTATTGCTTTTTTATGTGCATATGATTGACGTTTAGCGGCATATTGACATTGAATCCTGTATCCAAATATATAAAGGAAAAAAAACGAAACCTACGTCGTTTTTCTTATCATACACTATTTAAAACATCACACCATCATTGCTATGCATCTGTTTCTTTGTTGGCGTGAAATGCGAGACCCAATGGGTATATTAGGACATTCAATTGAAACATATTTATGGGGAGATAGTCGTTCGCGTCATACATTTTTAATAGCATGCACTGATGAACATCCTATGGTATTAATTGAAATCGATGTTGGTGATGCTGCAAATGGTATTCATAAAAGTATGAAATTAAATATTATTGAATTAGATGACGTACCTGATTCAATATGTAAAATTGAATTCATTGGTGAAACAACCTCACCAACAGCATTCGAACATCTTATTCGATCAGCACATGATTATGTAAAGAAACATCCATATTATCATGTACTATTAAATAATTGTCGAACATTTGTTGAATATCTTATTGATCAAATACCAGAGTTTTTCACTTCTATACCACGTAGAAATGGTTCTATACTTGAATATTATCATGCACAAGCTAAAGAAGAAAATCCAGGGACAATTATCAGAAGTAAACAATCTTTGAAAGATATATTTGTTTTACACGAAAAAAACAGACAATATAAATACGTTAGTGGATTAGTATTACACATTGAATTACCTAAATTTGATAATTATGATGATATTCCAATCATTTATACACGACTTTGAATGTAAAGACTGCCATATGAAGATTATAAAATATTCATCTTGCTTTAACTTTCTGTGGATCAATGATAGTATTTAACTAATGATAAAATGTATTCTATTTTAGAAACTAAACTCATATATTTTAATAAAAGATTCGTTATATTGTTTAAATGTTCGGATAATGAATCAGTTGAATTTCAGCACTTGAAACTACGGCTAAAGTAGAAAACATCTACTACTTTCGATAAAATATATTATCGATGATAATCAAGTTCGAAAAGAAGAGAATTCTAAAGTATAGTTCAAAATGAATGTGAATCATATTTTGCTAATAAAATGAAGTTTCTTTGTTCCAAAACTGACGATATTTTTTCTCAATGTTGTTCAGTGTTTCACTCGTTGCAAGAACCAATTAAGTTTAAAAAAAGCAATCAAAGCTCTGCAAACAGACATTGCACTCTAGGATTGTTCAATGGTACTCAATTTATATTTTCAATTTCGATGAAAATGTTTCTGTATGTTGCCCCAAGTAAGGTATGACAAGTCCAAAAATTTTAGCTTCTAAAACTTTTCTCTTGTTCAGATATTGAAAGCACAATAGAGGCATCTTCAGACAAAGAATTACGATAACCAATCCAGTACTCATTCATTGTATGTGTGCCCATTTTTCAACAACAAAGTGTTTAGTCATGAAATTTTGTGAGCGTATACTACCCACTAGGTACTCAACATACAACAAACTCAAAACCACTTTTCTGTGTGTTAAGCATTTTCGAGGGAGTTCAAAGTTTCTAGACATATCCTCTACCTTATGATCAAGCTTATTCTCGCTTATAAGCTTCAACTTTGGGAACTGGATACTAATGACTTATATTTATTAGTAATAATTTTCAAAACTTTAGGTTTGTGTTTTAGATTCGAACATAAATCTTTTCTAGTGTATATATGAGCCAGTTTATGCGTCATTGCCATCCATATTTAGAAAAGCTGCTCAGTTGATGATCATTGATTTCGCTAAATTTTGTGTATGTCTCTAGATGAAAGTGTCTGATGAATTTTTACGGAGACCGCTCAAAAGAATATCGCTCCATTCTCAAAATATTCAAATTTTCTTGAGAGCACTATCATCACGAAAAAAAATACATTTTTTATGGTTTGTGTGCTTTTTTGTAACAGCTATATGTCATTCAAGATAAAATCTTTGAGCTTGAAATTTTTTGCTTGAGCGCAACTCATGATTAGATACTTATCATAAAAATATGCGTTACAATTAATGAATTATTGAAAAAGCCCCCAATATTCCTAAGCATATAGAAGAATTTTTATTGTTTACAATTTTGTGCACATAAGGTACCAGTAATTCGAAGTTTGAACAAAGCTTTTTTCTTGCATTTTTTGGTTGTGGTTGGGTAGAGGTTGTCGGAATAGATCTAATAATGTTATTTTTGAGTATAATCAAACGATGTTCGTTTGGTGAAACTTAGGAAGAATTACGTTAAACAAATCAGAAGAGCCTATAAAAATTGAAATACGCCAATCCGAAATTTTAATCATCAACATTTCACTTCCAAATGAATAAAATATCACATTGAGAATCTGCTAAGAATTCTGTATCGAATAATATATTTAATGCTCACAACCAGAGCTAGACAAAATATTCGCAGTACTCGTACATTCACTCAAGTGTTGAACACTCTAAAAGTTAAGGGCTGACAAGGGTGTTTTTTCAATTCAAAAAGATTTCAGTTTTTCTGCATTGAAATCATATCCATGGCGACTCGTAATAGTAATGGGACGATTTATTTCACAACATCTCTCGATCAATAGTTCACGTCACATCCGTACTTCCTAGAAGAATAGTCATGTTTTTCTTGAAGTCGTAAAGAAGTACAAGTGTGGCTCGAATAATTCATCGAGAAGCGTTGTGAAATAAAGCTTTGCAAATGTATCAAGTGCCACCTTTAGATTGATTTAAGCACAGAAAAAATAAAATATTTTGAGAGCTGGAAAATCGTCGTATCTGCTTTTATCCTCTTAGATATAATGTGTTACATGAAAGTGTTATCAGATATCTTTTACTGCGTTTCGAAGTTGATGAGTTTAACATATGTTCCCAATTAATCGGATTCGAAATTCTTATTCTTGACTGTAATTTTTGTTGTACTTGTATTCGTACTGGCACTTGAGAAAGTCCGTATTATCCGGTCCTGCTTGTAATTGATTTTAGACGAATTCCGAACTTATGAGAAGCATATGTTAGAGTTTTTGAAAATAACACTGAGGTATAATGGTCGAAGTTTGACGGAAACTTGTTTTAGAAAATAAGTATGCTATTCAATGCAAGTTTCTTTTTGCAAATTCTGACTATGATATTCATATCATTTGGGATTGAAGTTCTGATAATCGAAATCTTTGAATAGAAAATCAATTCTTTTGACGTTTTCTTGTCATATCGAAAGAAAACAATTTTCTCAACAATTCAACAATATTATTCAAACATCATACACAATTTTCTTCCTAATCATATGATTAGTAAAATCCCGATAAAAAATTAACATATCTCAAGAATGCAACAAAAATTTTTGGAATGGCTTTCGCTGAAATGCATTAAATATTTTTATCTATAGATATACAAAAAATTAGCGAAATTAATGATCATCAACTGAGCAGCATTTCTAGATGAGAATGGCAGTTTCATCTAAACTATCTCATGTATGTATCAGAAAACATTTATGTTCGAATTCAAAACAAAAGCCTAAAGATTTGAAAATTGTTACGAATAAGTACAAGTTATTAGTATTCAGTTCCCAAAGCTGAAACAAATAGGCCGCTTATAAATGACAAGAATCTTGGTTACAAGATGGAAAGACGTTTAGAATTCATGAGGTTTCTATAAATGATTACAAACGTTGTTGTTGAAAAATGGAAAATATACAATGCATGAACTGAATTAGCTATCGTCATTTTTTTTCTGAGGATGTCTCTATTATGACTTCAATATCTGAAGAAGGAAAGGGTTTTAGAATCTAAACTTCTTGACTTTTTCACATGTTACTAGGCACTACATACAGACACAGTCTCATCGAAATCAGAGATATCAACTTACACAAGTATTAGCAAGTAGTTGTAAGACTTTAGTTTCTTCTCGACTTACATATTATTCATCGAGAGCTTTGTGACACACTCCAGAGAATTGCGGATTCCTTAATTCCTCTATATGTTTGTTAAATATGAAAAGGTCAATTCATTTTATTCATAGTCACACCCACATATAGTATCTTTACTAGATGATTATGCCTGTTCTCGAATACCCTTCATAATCTCTAAAATTGATCAAATGATTGATTTCTTTTGCCAGTTTACTCAATCTAAGATTTCTTTGTGTCAACAATCTAGAAAGTTAATTAATGAATATATTGGTTTACTATCTGCTCAAATATATGTAATCTTGCAAAAAAAATTAATAAAAACTATTTTTGTTATCCTTTCTGATTTTGTTTTTGTATGTTTGATATTTACATTTATTTACCGAGAAGTTATTTTATGATTTAGTATATCATAATAAATTTTATTCGAATTTTTTTTCTGATGAAGTAAATGTTTTGTTTATTTATCTGCTAAAGAACTTCTTTCAACACTAATATTGAGTAATTATATCGAATATATGTAAGTTTCTTTTGTTTTGTTTTTTTTATAAGAATTAGTCATTTATTGGTTTTAATAAGCATTGTATACAGTCCTTTCTTATTATATTTTATTTCTTAATTTAAGAAAAAAGAATACTATTGTACTGACTTTCTCAGAGGATTTATGATTGCATTTGTCTGTTTTAAATACAGTGTCCATACTGATTCATTGCTGAAAGTCTACAATGAAAGTCAATATGATAAAATAGATTTTATACGTCGTTTCATTATTTTTTTACAAATAAAAAAAAATTAACACAAGAACTTTTTTAACTTTCTTTTTTCGTTTATCTTCCTCATTGTATTGTCTCATAATCTAAAAATATACAACATTTCTCATTCGTGATTTTATGTTCTACGTCAGGTTTTTGTATGTGTATGCTTGTATATATTTCATAAAAAGATAGTATTTATGTATACATCACGATTTAGGTGATTTTTACGTATGAGATTATTGCTTTCCTATATGCATGTGATTATAAAAGCGGTAATGATGTGTTAACATTGAGTCATACATGTCTATATATAGAGGAAAACGAACGAAGCCTACGTCGTTTTTCTTTTGACACACTATTGAAAACAACACACTATCATTACCATGCATCTGTTTCTCTGTTGGCGTGAAATGGAAGATCGAATAAGTGCAATAGGACATTCAATTGAAAGTTTTCTATGGGGAGATAGTCGTGCACGTCATACATTCTTAATAGCATGTACTGATGAACACCCCTTAGTATTAATTGAAGCTGATCTTGGTGGTCATGCAAAAGGTATTCATAAAAGTATGAAATTAAATATTATTGAATTGGATGAAGTGCCTAATTCAACATCTAAAATTGAATTCATTGGTGAAACAACCTCACCAACAGCATTCGAACATCTTATTCGATCAGCACATGATTATGTAAAGAAACATCCACATTATCATGTATTCTCAAATAATTGTCGAACATTTGTTGAATATCTTATTGATCAAATACCGGAATTTCGCGATTCTGTGCCGCGTAGAAATGATTCTTTACTTGAATATTATCATGCACGAGCAAAAACTCAAAATCCAGGAGCTTTACTGAGAAGTAAAAATTTTTTCAGAGGTATTTGTGATCTTCATCGACGTAACCGAGAATATAAGTATACTGGTCGATTAGTATTACGCATAGAATTACCTAAACTGGATAACAATAATGATGCTCAAGTTATTCATACATGACTTTAAATATAATGACTGGCAATATGAATATTATAAAATATTCATCTTGTTTTAACTTTCTGTTGATTAATGATAGTATTTAACTAATATTAAAATGTATTCTATTTTAAAAACTTAAGTCATATATATTCATAAAAAACTCTATATTGTCATATGCATGAGTAATGAATCGATTTGAAGTTGTTTTTCTTTTCTAATGCCTTTGTAAGAACTTTGTTTTTATGATTAGTAGTAGTAATTCAAGTAGAGAAATCAATAACAGATAAATCTTAGTGTGAAATTCAAGAAGTATTCAACACTATTTTGAAAAGTCAGATAGTACATATATATGATATTAGTTTCACTTCGAACATGTAAAAACTATGTTTATAAAGCAAAACATTTAATATATTCACTAAAAATCTATCTGCGATAATCAAGTTTTAAGAAAAGAAAAGAATTCAGAAACATAATTCAGATTGAATATAAATTATTTTTTGCTAATGAAATGCGGTCTCTTTTTCTGAAAGTCACAATACGTTTTTGTTCATATTAATTAGTATTTCATTTATTGTAGGAAGCAGTGAAGTTTAAAAAAAAGAAATCAATGCTTCGCCTAAACCACGTTGTTTGCTTGACTATTTAAAGAAAACAATTTGCATAAGTATTAACCAGTAGTTGTAAGGTTTGTGCATCTTTTTAAGTTGCATGTTTTGATAGTTAAGTATCAGAAGTCAATATATATTGCCCATATTCAAAAATATTGATTTGTGTTTCTGATTTTAACAATAGATTGTTGTATAGCTTCAAAGTTCTCAATTAATCTACATTTTTTAGGAACAAGTCTTTTTTCATAAAGATACTAACTATTTAATCTCTTGTAGATTAAATAATCAAACAACTTTTCATGTGAATGCTATGATAACTTTTTTTTCTCAGAGATATATTTAATATTTGATAACGACCAAACTTTATAAAATCTATTATAGACTATTTGAATAGTATATCATATTGATAATATGATTTGAGTTGTATTAAATAAAATAAAATTTCTAATCTGATCTTCATTGATATTAAAAGAAACGAACCGCACTTGATATTTCTATTTATTCTATATTGCATATGTTAATGAAGTTAAAAATGACTATTCTATTGTAACCTATTGACATGAACTAAGCAGTTCATAATGTGCATTATTACCTTGTTTTTCCATTTCTTAGTTTTTTTAATGTCTTACTAATCTTAGCTAGTAAAAATCATTTGTCATGGTACTGAAGTACAAGTGCTACATTTATTCACATTCTTTTAATAAACATCTATTGTTAATATTTAATCAATTCCTAGTTTATAATTGTCTTACTTATTTCATTTGGGATCTGTGGAGTACACTTATGGATGTCAACTATTTATAGTATATATAGATAAAAAATATGAATAAAATATTTTGAATTAGTTTCTAGATAGTTTGCAAAAAAAAAAATTTTCTTTTTATTTTGTATTAATAGAAAAGGAAAAGTTTAGTTAATATGTAAATTAAAATATTACTGTAACTGATCTTCTGCTTTTTTTACTGATGTAAAAAAAGTGAATAATTTGAATACATTCCTAGAAAAAGAAACTTAATGTTCGGATAACAAGAAATTTTTTTTCGGTGTAACTTAGAATAAAGAGTTGACTCTTTTTCAGTAAAGTTGTATTTGCGATATTGAATTCATTTTGTACTGTTTTAAAATAATAAACATTCATAATAATAAAGAAAGAACCGAATACAATTTTCACTTATAAAGTCAATTATTTTATTATATATACCTTATCTTTATCTATTAATTTTATATAATGCTTTTGTTTTTTGACATCAATATCGAGGAAAACTCTGAATCTAGATCAATTTATCGATTAATTATATTAAGGTTTTACATCGTTAAATTATAATAAATAAAAAAATATTACCAAATTTTTCTTTTCAATTAAAAACGATAGAAAACCAAGTTTTCATTTGTTCAAATGTCATCTTTACATAATGAAATACATTTATGGAAATAATATAAATTATTAAATGAAATTTTCATATACAATCAAACCGTCTGGTAATTGTGCAATGCTGTCATTGAGTTATTTATATGCTTGAAATTTTCTCGTTCGTAGGGTCTTTTTTTTTTTAGTTCTTTTTCTTTTTCTTCATATAATGAATTATGAAAATACTTTGGTGCAGACATTTGTTTATCTTAATTGAATATATCACATGAAACAAATGACAATGCATTCAATATATCATAGTTTGTAAAATTAATAAGAAACAAGTGAAACAGAAAAACTAACAATGAATGAAGATATGTATATTCAATTGAGTTTTTATAGCCAACCAATAATAATTTTAGTTGGAACCGTTGGTTCTTTACTTAATCAAATAATATTTCATCGAAGAAAATCATTACGAACAGCATCATGTTCACTTTATTTTCGTTCATTATCAATCAATGATCTTCTTGTTTTATATATCATTGTATTAACACAATGGCTTAACGATCAATTTCATTTCGATTTAACAATAAAATATTTATGGTATTGTAAAATTCAAACATATATCATGCATTGTTTATATGCAGTATCACCATATTTTCTTGTTTTGGGCTGTTTTGATCGTTTATGTCGAACATCAAGAAATATTCAATTAAGACAAATGGCAACTCTAAATATGGCTCGTCAAATAAGTCATATCATAATTATATTAATATGCATTACCCATTGTCATATTCTGTTTCAATACAATATCATTCATTCAATGTGTATACCAATCAATATATTTTATTTCCAATTTTTTGCTTATTTTCATCTAGTTTTCCATTGTCTTTTACCACCAATATTAATGTCAATATTTTGCGGTTGTACAGCTTTTTTATTATATCGTCGTAGATGTCAACAACAACTTCAATATAAATTAAATATATATATATCACATAAACGTATTCACTATCGAGATTATCAATTAATAAAAATCCTTTTTCTCTATGTTACAACTAATGTACTATGTACCCTTCCTTTTGCTTTAGTTTTTTTACAATATGTTTATAAATATAATAGTGATCCACAATTATCTATAATTGTTAAATTTACTGTTCTTCTTGCTAATTTAAATTATTGTTCTAGTTTTTATATATATACACTTGGAACACCATTGTATCGACGAGAATTGTTACATCTAATAAAAACTTTTAGATGACAGTTTATGTTCTTATATAATTAATTTTCTTAATAAAAAAAAGAAAAATTTAATTTTTTTTAGACAAATCAAACATATATTTAAGATCTATAACGATTTCTTTCTTGTTTTCAGGATCATTCTCATGACTGATAAACTTTGCTTCTAATAGAATTCATTTTCTTTTATTCAACATTGTCAATAGATCAAATTTTAATTAGAAACATCATAACATAGTAATAAATTACAAGTTATTATAATCAACAAGAAGACTTTTAAACGTTATGGAGAGATAATAGTCAAACATAAACTAAATATACAAATTGATATAAGAATTGATCAAGTTAAATAAAAATAACTTTCATCAGTTATGTTTTTTTTTCATATATTAGAATGTTTTCAGAATTCTATGAATGGAAAAAAATTTATTTATTTCCTTGAAATTCTTGTGAACATCATTTATGATAAATCACGAATTGGATATATAAAATAGCATGAAATGTTCTCTTAAATTCTCCATTACTAACTCTAATTCGATATATCAAAGAGTCAAGCATGATGATACAAAAGATTTAGATTAATGATCTTATAACTATGAGATTAACATTTAAAGCGATAAAAGTATAATCATATATAATTAAATCTCTAATCGACAAGAACATTTAGCGATTTACGATATTAGTTCATATATATGAGTCAATTTAATATCAAAAAAGATGTTAGATACAGTTCGACTTTAGTATAATTTATATACGAGTAATTTTTATCTTAATTATTTCGTTTTCGAACTCTGATCCACAAAAGTAAATAAATACACTTAAAAAAAATATTTGTATCCAGTAGAGAATAATTGAAGTTGAAGTAATAAGGATTTTTCAAACTATTCGTTTCTTCTATTATTAGATTGAACCCTCTAAACTTTAGTAGAAACTTGTTCGAGAATATTCTATTTTATTTGTAGTACGCAATCCGATTGATTTTTTATAAAAAGAAAAACTATTTAACTTTTTACCTCTCATAACGATTCCAGAAGAGTCACACTAATAAAACAACTATTTAAAACAGAGTATTGTCTTCTTCAGTAGACCAATGATATAAACAGAACGATTAGGTACGCTTCCCTCTGTGAACCGCAATTTGGTAACTTCAGTTACCATTAGAGGTTAGCGATATGAAAGTTTTTCTTATTTTCTGCGACTAGCTCGTTGATTTCGGAAAAATACAATATATATTTTTAATTCAACAATACGAATAAAGAAAAAAAAACAACACATAAAAAGATTATCTTTTTTCAAAACATATTATTATTGATGTATTCTTCGAATATGATAAGATTTAAAATAATTAGGGTATAGATGTACTGTGGGACTCTTCTTATCTAAGCAATCTGTTTACTGATCTATGCATAAATATTAACAAGTGTTGCGTTTAGACGAGAATTTATAAATCTATTTTTTCATTTTATTATCTTCCAATGGCAACTTCAGTTGCACTTTTATGTCGTGCAATTTCTTATTCAACTAATTCGTGTAAAAATTTCTAAACGCCTTTTATTCAATAGCAGCAACTTTCATCGATATTTATCAGGTAGTACATTATTAAAAGAAGTATTTTTTAAATGGTCAAAAAAAAAATACAATTTAAAAAGAAGAAGTCTTTTGTTTAATAATCTCTTTTGTCACTCCTCTATCTTAAATGAAGCAAGTATGCAAAATATTTTTTTTTACAAACCCATAGCTTAGGGAATTCTCTACACACAATGTGTGGAGACTTTTTTTTACATCACGCGTTCTGCATTTTCTACAATGTATCTAAAAATGGCAATTCCAATTGCCAATGAGGGGTAAACGGCTATATCTAAAGTGTTTATTAACTGCACAATAGGTTCAAATGGAAATAGGACATCTTTTTTTTAGAACGTTTTTTTTAGACATATAAGAGAAAGGCGTGTTTATTTTGATAATTAACTTTGACGTAATAGAAAATGGAGCTTATTTTTAACTATGATAATAGAATAAAATCATATAAAATACTTCGTTATTTATTCTGACACATTTGGTGCAAAGAATATAAAGAAAAACAGCTATGGTCAAATAGTGCATTCAACATCAAAATGACTCATATGCTAATAGGTTTAGTTTCTGTTCGCTGTCGTTCTTTTCTATTAATTCATATATATTTGAAAAGTCAAACATCTGATCTCCCTAATTTCTGATACTTAATGTCTATCAATAGAAGAATATTGAAAAGTTTTCATGTATTTATTTAATATTAATCTTGTATCTACATCAATTTACTACAAAATATTATATATTTATTTTATTCATATAAAACGTTCGAATGAAATTATAAATAATATACTAAAAGAATATATAATTCTCCATATTGAATAATTGAAATAAGAAGCTTGATTACATGCATCTTTATCGCATATATGTAAACAACCTCGAAGTCGTTGACTTTTATCAATCCAATCAAGTTTAAGAAGACCACAATGACTAGCACGAGTTATTTCATTATCATCAGCTTCATCTCGAGCACATGTTCGATACATATATTGAACAGGAATAGATGCTAGAAATAATCAATATTTATTCTTATAACCAAAAGAATATGAATTAAGGGTGGTATCACCTTCTCTCCGTTGTCTGAAGAACGGATCATCCGAAGAATTTTAAATTTTCAGTACAGACAGGTCTTGACATGTAGAGCAAAAGTTGTCATAGACTCAAAGTTCCCTAATGCTATCTTCTATAAGATACTGGGATTAAAAATAGCCTTTCCATTTTTCTGAGATGTTATGTTTGATCGATAAGCTGAGGTTACGTTTCAGGCACTAAACAACAGTTTGAGATAGGTATTTTTTAATTTTTATCCTTCGAATAAAAAAGCCAAGTATCGAAGGTACCCAAAAAACAATGCTGTTTTCTAATAGAGTTTTTATTATAAGAGCTACCAAAAATCAGTAGAACAGTATTTTTGGAACCAAAGAAAAAAAATACCCATCCTAAATAGCGTATCGTACATGTGACAAAAGTTTCAACTCAATTTGTCATATTAGACTGGAGAGATAAGAGTGTGTCTGCACTTGTTTTTCATAGAAAACTTGATTTGATATTAACACGAAACGATGTACAGTTTCCACTATGTTCGTTAAATAAAATTGAAATGTACTTATTAAATAAATACTATTTCACACTATACGATAGTCATAGAAAAAAGAAGGTAAAAGTTTTGGGTCAGAAATGGGGATGATACTCTTAGATTAATCAAATAAAAATTCACCTCTAGAACGGGCCACTAGTTTAATACAATGTGTTGCAGGAAATAAACCTTTACGTCCACGTAAATTGGTTAAACATGGAGCATAAAGAAACGATGATTTACCGGTTACATCACCCTGAAATGTATCTTCACATGATGGATTACTTCCATTAATTGACAAACATTTATAACACGATATCGAGAATACTAAATGATAATAATTTAATATTTTTTTTTTCTCAATAAATAATTAATATTTTTGAAAATTATAACAATACTTACCAGTATCGATGAAAAAAATCATAATGAATATAGAAGCAGAAAAATTCTGGTTTATTATCTTATTTGTCATTCCAATATAGATATGTCGCTTTGATGGAGTAACTCTCACTCTCCCTATACATATATATAGAATTGATCTGTGCAGCCATAATGCTTTTGTTGATTCTTTCTCTCATCTGCATGATTCTGGTACATGAATGATTAAGCTGACATACCAGTGTTAATGATCAACAACATATGAATACGTATAAGAAAGCCCACTTATCGAGCCAGATATGATGTATATATATATTACAACCACATGGTACATCATGTGTTGATGACGGACAAGAATAATAATGATGATTACAATGAAACTATTGACTAAGACATTATTTCTCAAAGTTAGAGTATATTCTAAATTATAATCATTAACATATATATATATATGTATTGGTTTCTGATCAAATTTATGACATACTCCATTTTGAAGGAAAAATAGCTTCGATATTAATAGGACATATGTTCATTGCTTATTATCAATTATAATGACCGATTATATGTTCAAATTATGATAAAATTTTATTCAAAATCAAAACAAACAAAAGTCTTAATAATATAATAACAAAACATTGTTTCTTAACATTGACCATAAGGATATCGATCATAATCACCTGGACCACGTATGTTTTTTATTCCATCACAGTATAAATATAAATTGTCATAAGGGTTTAATCGACGCATATTTGCCCAAAAGCTAGATCAAATCAAAATTTTACATATTAACAAAATTTAAACAGTAAAAAAAGAAAATCAAACTAACCTAAAAGCACTTTTACTCATAATCAAAGTATGACAATGTGAAATCATATAAAAATCTAATATTGTTTTTTCAAGTCCATCACATGCTAATTTTTTTCCTGAACGATCAATATGTCGTATAATACCATCAATTGTTAATAAACGTGAACGAAATAATTTTCTTGCATATGATTGTACTTCTTCTGAATCTGTAGAAATAAATACTAAGTCATTTGATTTCGATATATTTTTTAAAAATCCTATTACACTTGTATTCATACGTTCACGTTTAGGAAAAATAACATCATTTGGATTTGATGGATTTTTTCCAATACGTATATGTGCACAATAAAGTGATTTTGATTGAATTTTTTCTGATATTTCATTCATATGTGATTGTGGATGAGATTTTAATTTAAATAATAATTCATATATTAATGTAAATATTGTATGAATAAATAATTTTGAACGATGTAAACCATATTGTAAATGAAGTATACGATAAAAATCATCACGCCATAATAATAATGAATAATAAGCTAAATCTTTAACTTTAAAATAAATTATATCAATATTTTCCCACAGTAAAACTTCACCATAATCTTTATCCGATGCAGTAAGATTACTTACTGTAACATTTGTTCGTTTTGAAAGATTTTTTACTGTTTGATTCCATTTTATAAAATTTGGCTCTAATAAATGTGTTATTGGACAAGGCCATGTCATATTTATAATAAAAGTACGATTTAATACCAATGATAATAAATAAGCACCAACTATTTTTCGTGTTCGATCACCCCAGCCACCACATGGTTGATTACATGTATAAATTAGATATTTTGTTGATATTATAGGTTTAGCTAAACGAATCAGGTTAACATGACGAGATTCATATTTTTGTAAAAGTGGTTGACGATGAATACGTAATAGAAGTGATTTATCATATGGATTTGGGACTTTTTGTTGTTTTTTGTGTAGACGAGATGAGAAAACAATCTTTTTACAAGGTGGAAACCAACAATAATGATGAACAGAAGATGATGAAAAATATAAAATTTGACTAATAAAAATTAAAAACCAAACGAGAAAACCGATTAGCATATATATGTAAAGTCGTTGATATCGACCCATGGAGAATAGTTATCCAATAACACCATTGAGAAATATAAATGATCGAATAATAATCAAATAGTTATGATGATGTCCTCAAACGAGAATGAATAAGAGAAAGTCGAATAATAATTTTTAAAAAAAGGTGATATCATATATCAAAGAAATTGAAACCAACATGCTACTCATTATATTCGATCATGACAACTTTATTTTGTCTTAGACACTGACTAGTCGTCGCTTAACGCTATTTTTTTTTAACAATCTCGAAGTTTTTGGTTTTATAATAATCATATTTAAATACAAAGAAGTCTTGTTTTTCAATCAAATTTAAAATTATGTACTATGTATTTTTATGTGTAGGTGTTTTTTTTTGTCTCGCAGAAATTAATTGTTATTTAAAAGTAAAAAATAGTTTAATTCTCAAACTCATATCCTCAGCAGTATATCAGATGTGTCATCGATCGAATGGTAAAAATATTTACAAACAAATGTCTACTATTATACTTCTATCGAATAAAATCTTGTCAACTTACTCTGTTTTTTTTTGATTGGTGGTACAAAAAAAACAACTATGTAACTTATTATGATTATATTGAATTATTGAATTGAGGGACTTTTTTTAATCGAGAAACTACAACGAAAATAGAATATTGTACACCAATCAAATGAAAAAATAAGGTATAGTCTATGTAAGGATGTATGCTATTCGATTCAAGACGAATATTGAAGAAAGAACAGTATTCAAGCCCCCTTTTATATATATAAATACATAAAATCGACGAACAAGATTGTATATATACCATAGAATAAGAAATGGATGAACTCGTATTTATATTGTGACACAGCACATGAGAAAGAGAACGAATGATCGTCAAGAATTCGATTTTTTTTTTCCTTCCATTCTGTACTGTTTTATGTTTTTTTCGGTTCGATTACATTGACTGAAGCGACAATAAACCACACTTTATTTATTACTCTCTATTTTGACATGTTTTCATTATAAAGACAGATCAAATTTTCAGTTAGATCAATTTCTCATCGAGTTCGTTTTTTGAAATGCTTAAAAAAATAGAATCGAAATACTTTTTGTACATTTATTATTTTTTATGTATCATATGTTATACATCATATTTATTGTAATCGAAGAATAATCATAATTAAATCAATTATTTTTGAAATGTAAAATCTAATATGACAATATTCCATTTTACTCTTAATAATTTAAAATTGATTTCCATGGAGATAAGAATTGGAATCCATATAGTTGCACTGTCTTTGTTTGTCTTACAACCAAATAATTGCGCATTTTTTTTTTGTAAAATCTCATTGAATTTCTTTCACTTTCACATTTAAATCAAACGGCAAATAGTTTAAATAAAGATAGCACAACTTGATTTTTTTTATTGATCGCGCTCCAAATTTTACGATGGATATCTTCAAGACTTAAATCAAATTTGTTCTCATTTGAATTAATATTGAGATTGTCTATAATACAAAAGAATATCTAAAGAGCTAAGACTAAAATATATTTACATTTGTTGTTTGCTCGTAAGACACATTATTTTTCTTGCATTATCAGTATCAATTAAGAGTCGACAGTTACAGGTCTGGTTCGGTTTTGAGTCTAAAGATTTACATTTTTCATAATTAATCTGTAAAATAGTTGCTCTTCTTTTTCAAGTTTAATGTCATTTACATAAATAAATAATGCTCATTGAGATTCGACTCGTTTGGCCTTTGACTGACAGGATGAAGATATGCGTATAAGAGCATTCAGGTATAAGCATGCATTAAAAATATTCTAAAGGGAAAAAAATATTTTTTTCATGCATGTAGTCTTGATTAAAGTTTTAGAGAAATTATTTCGAGCTTAACACCTTACAGTTAAAGTTTCAGGTCGCTCCATTGAATGTATGAAGAGTTATTTTTAGATTATGAGTCAAATTTAGATTTTCGTGTGTCCCAAATTTCTACTTCATTTCAAATAGTAGAAAGTTCGGGTTATTTTTCCAAATGTAGTCAAGGTATGTCGCTACAACTTAAGAAAGCCTAAATTTTCAATTCTCTGATAAAATGTGGAAAATTCAGGAGGTGTAGGTCTAGAGCAGTTATTTTTTTAATAAAAATTAAAGGGAATGTTAAAAGTTCGGACTCCATTAAATTGTAGAACTAATTTTTGCTTTCATTTTGACAACAAGTCTACCTTTCTAGCATTTAAAATGGGGAAGAAGTCCAGGACGAACGGAAGCATTAAAATTCAAAATTTTACTATGAAAAAAGCACAAAGTAAGTTTCAGCACTGAAAAACAAGACTTTTCCTCTATAAACTGATATACAAAGAATTTTTGAGTAATCTGTCATAGATCAACGATTAGATCGATTCACATAAACACATATAAAGATGTACACGAAAATGTTCTATTGTCTTCATATGAACACATTACGTCTACCGATTATTCTAAATTGATATACATTCTGTAGAAGCAGCACTTTCAAATTATCTAAACTACTTCAAAACATGTTATAATTCTCATTATTCAGAACGTGATAAAGAAAAGTTTATTAAAAATACAACAAATGAAACAATGATTCATAGCCTATTCTACATCAGTGGAATAATAGTGAAAAATCTTTGACTAATTACTCTGCCAATATATGCATGGTTACGGATCAATGTTTATTACTTTCATGTCATTCTATGATTTTTCGTGTACGCATGATGTATTCACTTATCATCCTTAGCAATGCATGATAGTCATGTTTATCACGACCAAAAGTCAACATAGAAGTTTGAAAAATTTTGAACATCAAACTTTTTAGAAAAAACTTCTATTTTCTTTTGTGTGAAGGTTCAGAAAAACCTATGTTATATCCTTAAATCTCATCATGAAATAGATGAAATTATAGTGCATTCAAGAGTAGACACTTGAGGATACAGGTGTGAGTTTCGATGCTCACACACAGTGACACTCACAATCACAATCACACACTCTTCAAAAAGAGTACATGTACATAGCAAAGAGGATTCATGACTCATATTTTATTGTAATTAAATTGTGTTTGATTCTTTTGAACATTATTATTATAATAGAAAATGTTCTCAATTCTTTAAATGTATAGGAAAGATTTAAAATATGAAAACAAAAATATTAATTTAGAATAGATTATGAAGATAAATTGAAATTTCAAAATCATTCATTGATCTGTAATTGTTTTTGAATTTTTGTTCGCATTATCTTCGATATTTTGTATTAAAAAAAGCATTTTGTTTGGTATATCTACTCAATGAATGATGAAAAAGATAAAAGGAACATTCTAAAGTACTCTGATCTACTCATCATGATTCAATAGTTGATGATTTGTTGTTTTTTCTTCTTTTTTTTCAATGAAATATTCTTATGTTAATTGTACCCATAATCAATGTCATCAATATATTGGTTTCGTTTCACTAATGGTAAAATCAAAAACTTGCAAAACATTGTTATTTCCTCTTTTATTTTCATTATATAAAAATTTTATTTCATTTTGTGATCGACTTTTACAGAAGTCAGGTGATTTATTTTTGTCACAAAAAAATGAACGTAAATCATCAATTAATTTGACTCATTGATCAATTTGGTTCTAATGTTAGATCATTTGATCATGATGAAGTCATTCGTTTAGGCATTAATATTGATTTATATATATAATATATTCGAAGTATTCAAAATAAATATTATTTCAATGAATTAATCGATTATGATCCGAATAATTCAGAATGACACGTTATTAAAATTAAATTGTAAGTTATCAATGGGTTTTCAATTCAGTGCTTTCAATAAATGTTCATTTTCAAATGAAACAATTTCTTCATTAATATTTTCTCCTCAACGACTATCTGCAATACTTGAATTGACAAAAAAATATGACTAATCTATCAAAGTATCATCATTTTCTTTCTTTTTCTATGGATAATAAAGATATTTTTCCACTATTAATCATAGATTATCATATCTTTGCTAATCATATTGATTACAATAACACTTTTTATTTACACACCCATTGCTCGTAACTATTGTTTCAAAAGAAACATGAAGACACTACATAAGTCTTTATCAAGAATAAATACGTCAAACTATCCCATCGATATAGAAAGATAATTTTATTGTTGTTGTTTTTTTTAAGAAAAAGAACCTATCTGATAATGGTATAATTGTTTGTATTTCTACGTAAAGTCGAAAACAACAAAATTGAATGAGATGAAGAAATATACTAAAAACACGTTATTCTAGAGTTTCATCACTATCTAATAATACAATTTTTTCAAAGAATAAACTCATTGATGACAGCAAACGAAATCCTAATATATATCACGATTGTCATCTTCATATAAAGACTCATTTTACTAAAAATCCTTCCTTTTTTTTCCTATAGAAAAGCATATGTACAACATTGCATACAAATAGTACGGAAATCAATTACAAATACAATTAATAGTGAAGATTGTAAGAGAACTTTTTTTTCACATGAGCCTCCAAAAAAAATCTATCAACACTTTTTTTTTAGTGATCGATAATACTCCTGATTATTTATGTTTCCTTGAATCACTTAATGAACACAATATTGATCATATGTTAAGTATGTCCAATAATTGACTGTATACTAAAAATGTACTGTTTGTAATATATTTTAATTTTAATAAGTAATTTCAAAACAAATGCATCAAAATCGAAAAGAAGAGCATAGTTAATCAAAAACTTAGTTTTGATCTTGGCTTAGCAGCTGGATTGTAATATTTTATTCTAACGTTGTTTTCAATTCAATATCAGATAGTTTTAATTTATCAGAGGAAGACAATGATATGTACAATTTTTAATTTTAAATAAAATAGTTTGTTTTAAAGTGCTCAACAATTGTAACATTATTTCTTAGTCAGTACAATTTAAATAAACATTTGTACAGTAGTTATTTATTGCTAATCAATAATAAATATATTAAAATAAAAAAACAAAATCCAGTTACCTATTTAATCTTTCTCAGAAAAAAATCAAGTGATATGAGCGAATATTTAGAATAGAACTGTATAACGAATGTAATCAATCAGATACAAAAAAAAAAGGTTCATCATAACGAGAAACAAGAGACTTGAAAGTATTTGTAGATGATCTGTATGTTGAGAATCAACAGCGAAAAAAAAGGAAATATGCTTTATCATATGTAGATTAATGAGAATGGTCAAATGAAGAATAAACAGAAAATCACATAGAGAAATAATTTTTCTGATATTATCTGACTGACAAAAGTACAAAAAAAAAGAGATGATAATATGTTTTATTCAAACACCAATATCAACATCTGTTTGAAAGTAATACATATCATGTACATAATAATGAAATAATAAATTGAATAAGAAAATAGAAATTAACAGGAGTTCCTGGAGAAATCAATCAAAAATATAAGTACGTTTGGTTACACAGGTGTTTACAAAAAAACTTATACAAACCATCTTTTCTCTTTTTACTACTTTCTTTTCATGCAGAATAATTAAAATCTTTCCTTTGTAGATGATAAATTTTCGATGACTGTAGATTAAGAAACGACATTATCAATAATTATTTATGTTTCTTTTAGATATGAGATCTTTAATTCTTTAATGCCTTTCTTATTTTAAAGATCATTTTATATTAAGTTTGCATTATTTGATGAGAAGCCTAAGTTCAGTTCTAGTTGTTCATCATGTAATGATGGTTTCTCTGAGGACTATCTAATATAATATTAACAAATTGAAACTATCACATTCTATAGAACAGAAAGATGAAAATGATCGAGGATAATCTCTTAGGAGTACAAGACAAAATAAACTATTTCTCTTTTACTCGAAACGCAAGATAGATTTGCACCTACTACCTTCTCACTGATAAACAGTCTGTCCGTCCTGCATTCTCAAAGCAATCATTTCTTGAACTTTGACAAGATTAAGAATCTCATCCTCGAACTCTATCTTAATTTAACATGCCCAGTGAACGAGAACAACATACTTTTACATATGTTTAGCAGGTGCACGAAACCTGTCAATATTGTTGGTTCATTGTATCAAATTCGACCATCCAAACATGTTTTCCCGCACATGTTCCATCTAATGACAATTTCGATTACAATGCCTATCAGTTCATCTCTATATAAGCATGTTTTCTCTTGATTCAAACTGATCAAGACATTTGCTTCAAACAAGATGGGAGATAGTCGATCGTAACATACGAATAGTTGGATTTTGTTGCAATAATATAAGATCTCTTTATTGTGAAACACGATCCACAAGCAATTCATAATTCTTGTTTCAAAATAAAATCAAGAATGGTCCAAAAGATTTGGATTCCTCTCTATTGATTGTCGTTGTTTATATAAAATACATACATTGATAGCTGACTGAAATGCACAGTTTTGTAGAGAAAGTTTAAAAGCTATCATCTCGCGAAAGTATATAGTTCGAATTATATCGAGATAATACACGGTTAGTTTCTTTATTAAATATGTCTAAGTATTTCACTTCTTACATTTTTTGGCAAAAGTAAAATTATTCTTACAATATCTTAGTGATTAAAGTTGAGTAAAATAGTTAATTCTAGACATTTTTACATAACTCAGTAGACTTCGACAAGTTCTACAATTTTTATCCTGTTTCCAATATAAAACATGAAGAAAACCAGGCACATTAATAAAACTCTTCCATATGTTGCAGAAGAGAGTATGCTCAATATTCCATGACATTAATTGAGCGAATGATAAATGATGTTTCGAGATGTAGTATGACATACTAAAGCCGAAAATAACCTTTCCGAGTCATATGAACAGATGAAACGGTAGATCAACTAAAGTTATTAATAATTGAGTTTATTCTCTCTAATGCTGGATATATGAAATTTTTATTCATCTTTTTCGTTTCCTTTAAATTTGGTGTCGCTAGAAAACAATATTTCCCTTCAAATGTTACAAGAATATTTTGTGCTTGTAGAAAATGTAAGATGTAAAATGTTTAGTCATGGCCAACAAAACAATTATAACTTTTCATGATATCAATAGAATTCGAATGATTTTCTTTTTAAATTATTGATTCAATCTTTCTCTATAAATCTGTATAGTTCAGTCTACTATTTATGTATGTATTCCTTTAGATAACGTTATTTTACCGTAAGAATCGAAACTTTTGAGTCACTGTTTTATATCAGCATTCTACATTCAAATCAATTCTGCAATAAATTACTCTTCTGTCAAGAAAATGTATTTTTATGATCAAAAAACTGATTAGCATTCAAATAAAACAGTGCACATCATTAACTTGACATTATTTTATTCAACAATTTATCATATTTGATCTTAAATTAAATATATTCTGCTCCGCAACTTTAACTACGCACAAAATAGATATTAAACGAAATAAATTAATAAGATTGAATATCTAAAGACATATTAATAGTATAAAATTTAACAAGAATTATTTATTCACTTGCTCAGACAAATATGATTATTAAGATAAAAATTCTTTCATATCTATCTAATTTTTCATTCCATACAATTTAACGTACAAACAAAAATGTTTTATCAAGCCTACACAAATAGAGGCACATATATCTGCCCATCTGTGAAAATAAAAGAATATAATGGTATATATTATTTGTTTCTGTAATCGTTTTTCTTTTAATTATTGTTCTGATGCGTATGGCGCTGCTTGAATGAATAGATTTTATTGTTATTGAAAAAAAATATGATTAACCTTGAAAAGCATCGAGTTGATAAAGTGCATCTTTAGATTTTCTCAAAATATTATAGATCAAAATACTAAAAAATATTCTCATAATTATTGAAAATTTTAATCGCTCTATGATATAATTGAAATATTTTTTTTATTAAGTAAATATTCTTATGACCAAAATATGCACTCATATATTCGAATTTCTTACATTTCAAGATGAATTAAATACAACAAATCCCAATATTTTTTTTATTCATTCCATTATCCCTGATAAATCTCATAATAAAATACATAAAAACAAAAATAATCCATTAAGAACCATAAAAATAAACAAATAATAAGAATCAACCTTTTTTTTTTCATAATATTGGTACATACAACCAGTTTATGCAAGCAGTAAAAAGACACATGTAAGCAGAGCAGTACCCAAAAGATCTCCCGTAGATGTTAAATACGGTATGCATACATTATCTGGATCTCTACGATGTCTCCAAACAAACGATACTATCCATTGAGCAATATAAAGAAGAACAGCTACCTATGAAATATTTGAAATAGTATTTTTTTTTATTAATGAAGAAAATTTCCTACTTGAATAAGTGCTGCGATCAGATAGAGAGAAATAAAAAGAAATGAAATTTGTATATGATTAGCAGCTAATTGCCAAATAATAAATAGGAATGTTAAATGACCCGGTATAGCCATGAATAATAAAAGACGTACTATGCATGAAGCATTAGCTAAAAACATTTGGTATATATCTAGCTGATTTCATACTATATAGCACTGTATTCATACCTCTAGAACAAAACAATTTATATGGATTCGGACAATCTGTCGAAGCAGTATGTTGTTCATCATTTTGAAATTCTCCCGGTTTGCCTTGTTGATGAAGAGCAGTAGATAGTCGACTTGCTTGTACAGTTACTAGATTACCACATACACCTATCATACAATTAAATAAATGATTTTATTGATAAAAAAGATTCTTTTTTTTTTTTTTGGTTACCGTTCATCACAGGTTGAAAAACAATGATACCATGAAATGTTTGAACAGCAAAATCAAGAATTAAACCACCCGTACTAAATCAACATTAATGAAACAATAATAATATAATCATGAATATCTACCTTGATATAAACATTGCAGCTATTATCGGTGACCTAAAAAAAATGATTTTTCTGATAAAATTTTTTTCCTAAATTTTTGTTTTCACATACCATCCATGGATAAGTACATCTTTAACATGTTCATTTCGAGCACAAATAATTGTCCAAATTGGTATTAGAGTTAAAAAAAACACTATTGTCATCATTAGTAACAATGAATGAAAATCTTGACATATCCAATTAGAAAAAAAAATATATATAAATATGTTATATGAAAAATTTTACATACTAGTGATTTGAAATAAAAATTCACTAACACCAGCTAGAACAATAACAGTTGTAAGATCACCAAGTGATGCAGCCACTGGTGTAGCAATATTATCTGGATTTATTTTACATTTATGAGATAAGACGATAACTATCATCATAACTACACCTGAAAATAAACATCAATAAGTTTTTGTATAAATTTTTAATATAAACTACATCTATTTCTACATACCTAATACTGTTGAAGCAATTGTTGCTGTTGAAACACTACTACTGCATAAAATAAGAGCATATCGAATATTAAAATGACCTTGTGATAACCAACTTATAAGAATTGATACAAGCGCAGCAAGAAAACCAATAACAATAGCTTGTAATTGTATTAAAACAACATTACCAATAAATAAATCTTTAAATTTACATATTTTATCCATATTTCCAATATTTGCCTATATTTATAAAATGCAAAAAATAAAAAACAACAAGAAACAAATAATAAAACTTCAAAGCATACTTGTGTAGATAGACGAGAAGCTAATGTCATTTCTAAATTACCTTTTAAATCAAGTAAAGCTGGAACAAGTATATAAATTTCTGTTATTTCTTGAAATACTTTTAATTCCTAAAAATATTAAAATTAAAGTATAATCTACTGGATCTATTTTGTTCGACATATAGAATTTTTCTATCATTTTAAACTGAATAAATTCTACTTTGTCAATTGTCATCATTGAAATTCCATACAACATAAAGAAGTGTGTTTTTATGTCATATCAAGTGAAAGGAACATGATGTTATTCTCTCTGACATTCTTTACGCTCTTTGAATTAGTATAATACAAGTATTGTTCGTTCTTCTTTTATTAAAATAAACTAATAAATCTACAGGAAGTTGAAGATTTCTTCCAAAGAATGTATTTCTTTAAGTGACAAAAATTCTCATGTATTGAAGATTGCTACAGTCATCATCTCTATTTTTTAGGTAATCTATCGAACTTATTTTTATCTTTTCATATAGGAACGTTTGTTCTGATATATAAATGGATACCTTCGTACGTTCAAGTAGAAGTCCTGCAGCAACCATACCAAATCCAGAAATCATAAACGGAAGAACAAGTTGTCTTGCTACAATATACCATTTTTCTTGATTATTATTATTATATACATTCAGTATAGGTTTTGTTTCATCATTTACAATTGATTTTTCTATGTAAAATAAAAGATTTATCCGATATGGATTATATTCAATTTTCATCGACATTTACTTTTCTTTTCTTTATCTCAAAACTTATAATAAAAAGAACCGATAATATCCGGACAAATATTCAAATTTTCACTATCACCATAAGCCGCCAACTTTGATATTTCTATATATGTTTAAAAAAAAATAATATACATATATACAAAAGCAAATCCAAAAATAATAATATTTCTATTCATATGTATGCTTTCACCTCTAGTCTAATATTAACTGTGTGGCCTTTGAAGAAAAATAACGGATGGTGCTGTTTTTCATTTTCTATCATCATATAAATTAGAAACTTGTTTGCCTATTAATGAAACGCAAAAATACCTTTTTCTTTTGCAGCTGTCGTTTGTTCATGCATCATTAAAAATCAATCAATTAAACTTAAGAAAAGAATAGTTTTGCTTGAATTTAAAATGGGAACTACAAATCGATTAAGCGCCACAGTCAATAGTATACAATCTATTTGAAATTCTAAATCAATGTCAAATAAAGCTATACAGAAAACATTTTTTAAACAATATTCAATTTCAAAAAATATTAAAAAATTGCCTCTTTTATTTAATTTCTGTTCGATTGGTTCGTATCTATGAACCAATAGAAGATGTTAGTAAGTGTCACAACTAGAAGAAAAAAAAAAGTCTAATGATGATATGTTTACTCAGATATCAGTCGGGCGTGTTTTACTCTCGTTCGATCAATATTTACTTCTGTTCTTACTTCGACATTCTATGTATATTTTAGATATATTTTATTGTACTAGTGAAAATTGTAGCCATTTGAAATCTTTAATATGTTCGCACTCAATGATAATAAACCTATTTGGGTACGAGATAATGAACATGGCTTTCTTCTTGGTAAAATAACCGATATTGGTTCAGATAATGTTACTGTTCAATTGAATGAAAATAGAAAGGTTTGAAAAAAAAAAAAAGAATCAAATTTGAAAGAATAAATCTTTTTATTTCTATTTTATAGAAATTAGTTGTACCGTACGATTCAGCATTTCAAGCAGAAGAATATGATAAAGATGTTGATGATAATTGTTTGTATTTATTTTATTGAAATTTTTAAACTAATGTTTTTTCTTTTTCAATCGAAGGTGCCCTTATGTATCTTAATGAAGCAACATTATTAAATAATGTTCGTCGTCGTTATAAAAAAGATTTAATTTATGTATGATAAAAATAGAAAACTAAAAAAAAAAAAAGAGATTTTTCTTTCAAATCAAATTTATCTTTTAGACTTATGTAGCGAATATTTTAATTGCAATTAACCCATATAAAGAATTATCTGGTCGGTATTCAAGTAATGCTATCAAAAGCTATAATGGAAAATCACTTGGTATTATGCCACCACATGTTTATGCCATTGGTAGGTTATTGAGAATTTTGACACAACAAAAAAAAAAATTTGAATGAATAATGTGAATCATGACTTAGTAGAAGATATGAGGTGAAAGAGTATCACAAATTGAAGACTTCCTACTATGAAACAAGATATTTTAAATATGATCTTCAAGAGATTCAGTGAAGTTTATCAATAAGATGCCGTAAAACTCAAAGATTGACTGTCTTTATACGGCTATCCGTAGTGTTCGTCTTATCCAAATTTTCTCATATCTGATTGAATCGTACTTTAATAATTTTTTCTAGGTTTTTTTGTATTCAGTGACAAACAAACTCTATATATTTCTCAGATATGTTTCAAAAGAGAAATATTAAAAAATTTTCTTAACGTTAGTAAAATATTTATATGATGTGACAATCAAAGAATATTCGAAAGATTATTTTCATTCATCAATCTTAAAAGTACACTGTAGTCCATCTAACAAAGTAAATATTTGTTAAATATTATTGAAAACTAAATAATTAACAGGTGCAGAATTAAAATTTTTTTCAATCTAAAAATTATGAAAATATTAGATATGAACTTCAGTCAAAGTTTTCATTCAGATCAAACAATCGTTATATCATTCAATATCTAAAGAAAATTGAATTAATCCGAAATTTTAATCATAAATAATATATATATATATATTATTTCTTTTATATTTAAGGTGATAAAGCATATCGTGATATGCGTTCTACCAAACAAAGTCAGTCAATAATAATATCAGGCGAATCCGGAGCTGGTTTGTAGGATAATTTTATTTAATCATGACTTTTACTTCCTTATATTTGTAGGTAAAACTGAATCAGCTAAATATGTTTTACAATATTTAACTGAATCATACGGTGCTCATAATGGTCAAATTGAAGATCGTATAAATAAATGTAAAATAAATCAAATAAAATTCTTATTACTACATGTTTTTTATTGTTTTTTTTTTACTTAGCCAATCCATTATTAGAAGCATTTGGCAATGGTAAAAAAAAAGAAAATTCTTTTTTTTTTTTGTTAATTTTGTAAATAAAAACCTGAATATTTAGCTAAAACAACTCGTAATAATAATTCAAGTCGTTTTGGTAAATTTATTGAAGTTCATTTTAATGATAAAGTATGTCGAAAAAATGAGTTTTAAATTAAAAGAAAATAAATAAAAATATCTTTTTTCTAGCATCGTGTTGTCGGTGGTTATATATCACATTATTTACTTGAAAAATCTCGTATATGTGTTCAATCAAAAGATGAACGAAATTATCATATATTTTATCGTTTATGTGCTGGTGCACCTGAAACTATTCGAAGTGCATTACGACTTACATCACCAGATAGTTATCATGTTTGTTTATTAAAATGAAAACAAAAAAAAATTTCTTTCTTATTAAAATTTTTTGTTTTGCTTCTATATTAGTATCTTAATCGTGGTTGTACACAATATTTTTGTAATAGTCAAACAGAAAAATCTTTATCAAAAACACGTCGAAGTCAAGATGTAAGTCATATGAATAAATTAATTAATTTAAAACAAAACAAAAAAAAGGAACATCTTTTTTTTTTTTTTTTTATTGTTTTTATTATTTGAATAGAAAAATTTTCTTGATGTAAGATATTTCTATTGTCATCAATGTTGTTGTTTCTTTATGATGAATTAAAATAAACAAAAAAAATATGTTCTTTTCTTTCTATTTTTAGTTTATATCAAAAGGTGCATTACGTGATCCACAATTAGATGATGTTAATGATTTTAATGAATGTGATGAATCAATGGATCAAATGGGTTTAATAACACAAGATAAATTCAATATTTATAGTACAGTTGCAGCTGTTTTACATGTTGGAAATATTAATTTTGAAGATGATCCCGAAAGTACAAAAGGTGGTTGTAAAGTAACATCAGCAACAGAAAAATCATTAAATATAACAGCCGAAATGCTTGGTCTTGATCAACGTGATTTACGTAATGCATTAATAACAAGAGTTTTAATGACAAAAACAACTAGTAGTAGTAAAGGAACGGTTATTCCGTAAGTAAATTTTGTTAAACACGATCTAAGAGGAGCGTTGAAGTATCGAGATAAAACGTGGAGTCTCTGTCCATAGACCGTATGTTAAAAATATATGAACTATTTCGTTATTGCATTTCTGGTAGATTAAAAGGATGGTTACAGAAATATGTCCCGAAAAAACATTCTGCCTGTAATAAGCAACAGCAACTACATCGTATTTTATATTTTAATCCCACAGAAATCGCCTTAAAAGTTTCTTTTTTTTTTATATTAAATTCAAATAATTTATTTTTTTGTGTTTTATTAGTGTTCCATTAAAAGTTCATGAAGCTCAAAATGCACGTGATGCATTAGCTAAAGCAATATATATTCGATTATTTGATCAAATAGTTACATTTGTTAATAAATCAATACCATTTAGTTCATCTACATCATATATTGGTATTCTTGATATAGCTGGTTTTGAATATTTTCCTATAAATTCATTTGAACAATTTTGTATTAAGTATGATAATAATAATAATAAAAAGTCAACTATTAATATTCGTTTTTTGTTTTTAGTTATTGTAATGAAAAATTACAACAATTTTTTAATGAACGTATACTTAAAGAAGAACAATTATTATATGAAAAAGAAGGTCTTGGTTTGAAAAAAATTAATTATATTGATAATCAAGATTGTATTGGTATGTTGATTGAATTTCTTATTTTATTATTATCGTCTTTTATTTTCTTCTTTATTTTAAATTAAATAGGAGCTTGGTAGGGGCCAATTTTTTTTCTTAACTACATTTGTGTGTCTGTGTGGGTGTGTGTTTACGTCTGTTATTGTGTATTTTGCATGAGCATTATAAAGAATATATGAAATATGAGTAATTAGAGAAATATGTTGGCTTCAAATATAAGCTTGTAATTATTTAAGATAACCAAAACAAAACAAAAAAAATGTTAAATAATAGTGCACCTATCAAAAAAAGCAAAAAAAACTAATTATGACATATCAATAGAAAAGACGAATATGAAGTCTTTATTTAGACAAATTTGTGTATTGCATGTCATTTTATCTTAGAAGGATTGAATTAAAAGAAAAGAAATAGTACTTTTTAGTATAGAAGAACTATAAAATAAAAGATGAAGTAGCAAAGGTCATATTTTAAAGGCTTTAATGGCCTGCTTCACATTATGAGATGTTTTTATCGAGTGCTTCATATAAAAGAAAGAGAGAGAGAAAGAGTATGTCACATTTTGAAAAGACTTAAATAAACAAAACATTTTGATGACATTTTTTTTGTAGTACATGAATTGATTTATCGTTAATCTATTGAATGAAATTTAAAAACTAATAAAACGAGAATTATAAATGTTTATCTATTGCAAGATATAACAAAAATACAGTCGGATTTTTCTTTGAACTTGAAAAGAAAGAAGAAGAGTTGTTTGTTTTTTTCGAGTGATCTTGAATACATAAATAAATCCTTCGAAGAAATGATTAATGTTGAAAATACTTCTATTATAACAATCTGTTTGAGCTTATAATTACTTTCAACAATTCACAATAACATATTATATTAATTTGCTAATTTTTAAACAAATAATACTCACGAGTCTGTTTAAAATGTGTGA